CATTATCACTATTATGACAACAATAAATATCTAAGGAAAGTTTAGAAATTTTTATTTTTCTGAAAGCAATGAGGAAAAGGAGGAAGACAGAAAATAAGTTTACAAATGCTGATTTTGAGACTTCTTTCTATCATCCACAAATATACATGAATCACCCCGTTCAGACTGCGTTTTCCACACTCCTCTCTCGTCCTCATTCTCTTCCCCTTATTTGTGCTTCTTCAATTTCATGAGTCTTGGCTCATGTTTCTTTGTACTACTTAATCAGTATATTGATACTATTCTCAAAGAAATTTCTGTAGCTTCCTTCCTTTATAGAGATCCACAGACTAGGAAAGTTTATTTGGCAGATTGACATCATAAATCAAGCGATCAATTTTAGTACCTACTCGTGTATAAGCAAACGACTGTTTTTCTAGGTTGCAATCCAACAATATATATATAAGCTTTTATATGTATTGATTGCCCCCAAGTCAACAAATGTTAAAACTATTATATTATTTACTGAAATATCTTTACATAATTAAGCCCAGGATTCAAATATTACAATTCATAGTTTATAGAGCCAGAAAAGGTGATTACTGGTCTATTTTACTAAGTAAATAAACATGGTGCCAGAAAATATCCACATCCAATAAAATTCTTTCATTGGAAAATGAATTGGTGTTCACAATGCCCCGGACAATTTTAGTTTACAAATCTGAATATTATTCTCATGTGTTTCATATAGCAAAAACCAATGTTTCATTAAATTTCCTCCCAGATACTTATTTGGAGAATTTGTCATAGGCCTAATAGTAAATTACTGTATTTTCTGCCAGGACTCTTGTAAGACTTGAAGCACCCTTTAAAAATAGAGATGTAATCACCCCTTCAGGAGAAAGGGAGAATGAAGAAAACAAGATACAAAGGAAAGACTAGTCCAAAGGGCTAACTGGACCACAACTACCACAGCCTCCACCAGACTGAGTCCAGTACAACTAGATGATACCCGGCTACCACCTCTGACTGCTCTGACAGGGATCACAACAGAGGATCCTGGACAGACCGAGATGGAGAAAAATGTAGAACAAAATTCTAACTCACAAAAATAGACCAGACTTACTGGCCTGACAGAAACTGGAGAAATCCCAAAAGTATGGCCCCCGGACACCCTTTTAGCTCAGTAATGAAGTCACTCCCGAGGTTTACCCTTCAGCCAAAGACTAGACAGGCCTATAAAACAAAACGAGACTAATGGGCACAACAGCCCAGGGACAAGGACTAGAAGGTGGGAGGGGACAGGAAAGCTGGTAATAGTGAACGTGAGATCGAGAAGGGAGAGTGTTGACATGTTGTGACGTTGTTAACCAATGTCATAAAATAATATGTGTTCTAACTGTTTAATGAGAAGCTAGTTTGTTCTGTAAACCTTCACCTAAAGCACAATAAAAAAAATTTTAGAAAAAAGTTGAAATAAGTACTTAAAAAAAATAGTGATGTAAGTAGTCCTCTCAAGAAAATTATATGAGTTAATTATAAGGTTTTATATATGAATATCTTGGGGAAAAGGGAGACCAGAAACGGAAAATGATCAATGGAGTGAGCCATTCTTGGCCATTTTCCCCCAAATGTTTTAATTTTATATGGCTTTAATGATATACACCCACTCCTCACTTATCGACATGGTTAGGTTCCAAAGACCAGGTCATTATGCAAAAATCAGCATTATGTGAAAATGGAGGATGACCACATCAGACCACAAAATGGAGGATGACTACATCATTACACAACTGCCAAATTACATCATTACATCACTGCCAAACCACTGAGAATCATGGCCCAGCCAAGTTGACACATAACCTTAACCATCACAGGCAGCGTTACTCTCGCTTCACACAGCATTGTTAGTTACTGCCAGACATAGTAAGTCATTAATGTGCAAAATAGAGAGTAGATTTTTTATTATTAAATGCAAAATGTTGGATAACGAAATATTTGATAAGTCAGGAGTGAGTGTACTCATTCCATGAAGAATTCATTTCAAATTAGAATTAATCATTTATTTTTAAAATTTGTATCTCTTATTTGGAATTTGGAGCTTCTTATGGGAAATTAGAGAAGCAGCAGCAGGATCTTTTAGTGACCCACAGCTCCTGTGGTTAAACCTCCTGAGTTAAGGTGTATCAACCTTTGCCTACTAGATACCAGTAGCACTGACCCTCCCTCTCCACCAGTTGTGATGACCAACAGTGTCTCCAGACATTGCTAAATGTCCCCTGGGGGCAAAATCCTCTGCCATCCCCCACCGCCTATTGAGAACCAGTGCCCTAATCAGAGCAGAATTTTCAATATGGCCTGATATATGATAATTAGAATTTTTTCCAATGAAGTTTGCATTCATATTTTAGTTAACCTCCCAATAGATGCACAGCTATTTATTAGGGTTAATTAATTAAAACAGTAACAAGTTCAAAGTTGCTTCCAGTTATTACATGTCATTTTTCATGGGAAAATTTGTGACAAAGATATCATAATTGTTTTAACTATCTGTCTCCTTTAAACACAAAACAAATACAAAATTAAACTATCTCATATTGAAAACAAAAATATTAGGCAGTAAAAATCAATTAATTGAATCTAAATCGTACAAGCAATGGTATTAAATCTCAAACCTAAGTTTACCATATGCAGTGCTTTCACCCAAAAAATGTCCTCAGTGTCTTAGGAAAAAAAAGAATGAATATTAACCTAACACATTTATTAGCGCTGTTACACTACCCTCATGGACATTATGGTTAGCATAATACAGAGACGGAAATTTAAAGGAAGCAAACACTACACATCACCACAGGACAATCAATTACACAGGTAATTTTCTTTTCTTTCTCTCTCTCTTGTTTTAGCTTTGGGATTTTTGAGGTCTTATAAGTATAATGGCCTGTTGGGCAGATTTTTTTTTTCTTTCCTACAGGTTTTAATGATAAACTTGGAGTGCTTCACCAGCTGTTTTCAGCTACTTTATGCCTCAGAAGCAGAGAAGTCACAGCTGAAAAAGATCAACAGAAAGTAGCAAAGCGGGGGAGGGGGGGGAAGCACCAGAGCGAGGCTCTCTGAGGCAACAAGAAGCCAATGAAAAACTGAACACTGTTGACTGAGGAAATTGCAAGGGATTCCTAGGCAAAAAGGAGGTGGGAAATTGGGCGAGAAATGGGGAAAATTAAGAGGTAAGTAACCAAGAATAGTGTTTCTCAAATTTAAATGTGCTTATGACTCACCCAGGGACTATGATAAGATGCAGATTCCGGTTCAGAAAGTCCGGGGCAAGGCCTGAGAGTCTGCATTTGGAACAGTCTCCCAGTTGTTGCTGATACTGCTGGTCTTTGTCCCACACTTGGCGTAGGAGGCTGTTAGTACACCCCCCTCCCCCACTCCTACGTATCTCTGGAAATAGAAATGCCAACTTTCTTTCCTCACAAAGTCTATGAGATTATTTAACAATGTAAAATAAATTCATTTCCCAAAATACTCTGTATATAGAAATGTGTTCTCTCTACAGCTTCTTTACAGGAAAACATGAGGTAGACTGTTGCTTTGATATATAACTCATTTTTTTTATTGTTGCTTTAAAAAAATACACATATAAGCATCCATTAGTAAAAAATCACTACAATTTTTTATTTTCTTATATCCTTAAGCCTAAAGTTTCTATGGTATATTGTCTGATGGAGTAATATAAAATTCAAATTTCTAAAATCAAAATTAAGGTTAGGTTTGCCTTTTGGGTTACTAGTTTTAGATGAGCTTTCCAGCACAATGCTGAGTTTCAGTTTTACTCTTTTTATAACTGCTAGGGCTGTGTTTTTATCCTAATCCTTTTATTCCTTTTACGCCTATGGGAAAACTAAATCCTGGCTTACTTCATATTCTCTCCTCCAAAGTAACAAAGGCCTGATTAGGTGATATATTTTGGCATTTTGTCAATGTCAAGGTGTACCAGGAAGAGAAGCAGATACAAAGATGACAGATAGATGAAGTATCCCTGATGTAAAACATCACTTGATAAAGAAGAAGCTAGTACTACCTTAAAAATGAGTGTGTTTAGGCACAAAAATCTAAAGACTGAATGCTAGTACTAAGTGGAAGTAATTGTACCCTCTCTGAAAAGAAATCTAGGATAAAAAGGAGAGGAATATCCAAATTTGTCCCAATGACAAATACTTCAAAATAGTACTTTGCACTTTCCATAGGGGATACTTGGAAATACAAAGATATGTTTAGGCTTTTATTATACAATTTTATGGAAACACAAAGTTTCCAAATGTATGACCTCCTTCTTTCTGAAAAGAAGAGAGTAAAATATTCTCATACAACAGTCTCATCATAAACATACAAGGCTCTGAAATGCCACAAAGCACCTTAGTAATCTGTGTCTGGCTGCAAACTGCTCAAGTAATGTAAGAAGTTTAAAATTTGAAGACAGCACCGGGTTTTTCCTAAACAAAATCCCCAGTTTTAAGCTGATCTAGACAAGTTGCAGACATTTTAAACAAAGAAATTAAAGCCACATAGGTTTATACACTTGACAGATAAATCCTACCCTCACCACTTTCTGGAACAGCCACCAGGGTTGATCTGAATGCTACAACACCTTCTCCAAACACACATGTTCTGCATTACTTGAAATTTAGAAAGTCTTCTCCATTCACCTATCCTGATCACACACCCAGAAAAGTGAAGTGATCCCACTTAGACCATTTATACGATGTCGGAAATATTTAAAGTATTTAATCGGTCTCCTCAAACAATTGATATATTACAGAAGAAAAATAAAATCTCAAAATTCCTGAAAATTTAATTGGACAGAAATATTAGGTATTGTTAACCCATATACAGAACAAACTTATAAACATAACTTTCATCAGATATTTACAGGTGATCCCTGTGGAGAACATACTAATAATTCCTTCAAGCTCCCGCAGAGAGGCATTGGACAGATTTCAATAGTTTACTACACTTACCCCATGTGGTGGATAAGAGATCCAGCCCAGCTCCCCCTGAATTGTTTTTGAATCCAGAAGATTGACTAAAAGAAAACACAGATACCAACACAGTTAAGAGAAATGAATTATTTCTTGCCTCTGTTAAGTTAATGTTATCTATTGTTGCTTTTGTTGCTGTTAAGGATTATACCAAATGGTGCTAAAGTGAACCCAGAATATTGACAAAAATTATGACTCTGCTCATTTTCATCATATGTATAATATGTATAAAAAGAAGGGAACTAAGAAAAGAAAAAAAATGAGGAAAGTAAAAGCGTCAATTTTCTGGGGCCTTTTAAGCTGTTTGTGTTTGTTTACAAAGATGAGTTCATGTTCAATATATTTATACTTATTTCTGATAGAATAATTACAGGTTTACATAGTAAACAATAAAAATGAAAAATAGAAAACTGCATTAATACTAACATGATATCAAAATAAACTGCCATGGCTATTAAATTTGAC